TAAACTATCTTGAATTGAAATATACACAATACTACAGTATTAAGATTTACCTTATATAATTGAAACAACTCACTTTTTCTTTTTCTTTTTCTTTTTCTAATGTTGGATGATAAAATAAAAGTTAACAATTATTTGGACGGAAAGTTTATTTTTAATCAAGCAATCTCAGTCTTTCAATTTTTAATCAGATCAATCTTTAGTTTATTTCGAATCAAACAAATTTAATCAACATATTTTGATAAAACTGTTAAAATCGCAGTTAAACCAGCAAATCAATCAAATCAAAAATGATTCATAATTAATTAATTAAAACTTTTAAAATTTAAACTATATTGAATTGAAACATGCACAACACTACAATATTAAATGAGATATGAGTATAAGATTTACTTTATATGAGTAAAATAACTCATTTTTTTTTTCTTCTTTTCCTAATGTGAGATTATCAAATAAAAGTTAGCCAATTGAGATTTTCTTAATTGTTTAAAATTAAGAAAATCAAGAAAATTAGTATGAGATATTAAAACTTTTACAAGACTTCTCACTAAATGGGATGAAAGTATAAGATTCTCTTTATATGAGTAAAATAACTTTTTTTTTCTTCTTTTTTTGATGTAGAATTATCAAATAAAAGCTAACCAATGGAAATTTTCTTAATTATTTAAAATTAAAAAAATTAAAAAATTTGTATAAGATATTGAAACTCTCACAAGACTCCTTACTAGAAAGACCCTTTTTCTTACATAATACATAGATAGATACACAGAAGGAGTGTGTTTAAAATAAAATAGAGTGAAAATAGGGATATCTAAAATTATTAATGATAAAAGATTGTAGATTATTTTCCCCTCCTAATTTGGTTAAAGAAGGTTTTTAGGATAAAGTATTTAAAAAAAATAATGAAAAATTTAATTCTTCCGAATCAAAATTTGCTCTAAAATATTGAACAAATTTGTTGAAAAAAAAATTAAGATGAAAACCAAATACGAAAAAACATCATTTTTTATGCAAATAACCATTCATATAATGTTATATATATATATATATTGGGGAAAGAGGGGGTAAACAATCAATTTATTATCTATTATATTTTATTTTTAGATTTTTTGGTTAGAACCATATTGAAGTTATCTCACACTTTTTTTCATACTCAAATTATGGGAAATGTTTCGTAGCTCGAAACATTTTGCCCCGAATGGCTTGAGGGAGAAGACGCAGAGAGAAGCAGAGGGAGAGGGAGAGAAAGACAGAAGCAGAGGGGAAGAGAGAGAGAGAGAAGACGATCGTCACCCCGGCCCCGATCCGCCGATCGTCGCCCAGCCCAGCCTCGCCGCAGCCTCTGACCGCCGTCGCCCCGCCTCCGCCTCCTCCTCCCCCGAATATTATGCCCCCTCCAGTCCTCCTCCTTTCTTCCTTCTTCTTCCTGGTCTTCATTCTTCTTCTGCAAAAAAAAAAAAAAAATCGAGCCATTCGAGCTCTCCGTTTTCGAGCTACATAGCACGATCGTAAAAAAAATTACATAACGAACTTCATATGATAAGAAAGGATTCATGTTTTTATTTTATTTAAAAAAAAATCGCACAGGATTCGAGAGTCCCTAATCTCAAACTAAGTGTTTGTTTGGAATGTGGGATAATTTTTTGACTATTTTAGTTAGGGTTAAAAAGTCTCGTTTAAGATATATTTTTAATTTTTTTTATTTTTATGAGAGAAAAAATGAAATGATTATAAATTAAATATGATATTTTATTCTATTTAATTAAAATAGTCAATTTTATTTTATATAACTATTTTAATCCAAAGTTATATCCCAAACATGGCCTAAAACATTACTTGAAATAACGTATAAAAATGCCACGCTAAAAGATGATGAAAATTGAACCTGAATGAAAGTATTTTTGGACCCGTTCCTGATTGATAATGGTATAGTTATTAAATTTTTTTACTAAATAAATGATTAAATATTTCATATAAGTGGGAGATTCATAAAATTATAAATTTATATTATATAAAATATTTAACCATTTATTTAATAAAAAATTTGATATTTTTTACCTTACCCATTATAGCAATCCACCTCTCAGGCGCCGAAAGGATTCATTTGAGATAGAGGAGAAGAAGAGAGAATAACGTGTGGCACAAGAATTAGTGGGAACTGGCTTTTGTTTTTGACCAAAAAAACATTCACACACGAAAAAATGGCACTGCCTCTGCCTCCCTTCATTCTCTCTCTACAAATTGTTTTTTTCTCTCTCTCTCTAGATTTTTGTCAATGAAATGAGATATGGATGAAATGAACTGATTTCGTCGTTTTGTGCTTGCTGCTCCCTCTCTGTCATGTCGTGATCCTCTCTCCATCTCTCTATGATTGCAATCTCTCACTTTCACTTTATCTCTCACAATATGTATGGTGGGTTTTTTTTTTTTGCTCCTCTCTTTTTGTCACTATTTGGCCAAACAAAAGATGGATTAAATGAAATTAACTGAAAAATTATTTTTTATTAAATTTTATAAAAAATAAAAATAAACAAAAAAAAAGGTTGATTTTTTTGACTTATTTTAACATTTTTATTTTTTTAAAAACTTATTTCTTAGATTTGTCTACACAAGACGATAGAGACAGATCTAGAATTATCATTATGAAAATGCAAAAGTATGTTTAGAGTGTAAATTCTTATAATTTTAAATTTTTTAGTATAACATATAATATTTTTCATATTTTTGTCCATCTAAGAAGGATCAGAAAAATAAAAATAAAAATTAATGTATTTTTTTTTTAAATTACTACAAACAAAAAAAAAATTTAAAAATTACTTATATAACTTATCCCAAGCAGCACGTTATGGTTCTCCTCTCAGTCCTATCCTCTCGCTCCTCATTGACCAAATTTGATTTTAAATATTTTACGAAATATTCTACATATTTTTTAGTCTCAATATTTTACTTTCCTTTTTATATTGGGACCATACCATGATTCATGTGAATCACACATCATATAAAGGGGTGAGCAAAAATATGATTTAATAATTTAAATTATTTATTTTATAAAAAAATTTATATATATTATTTTTAAAAAATTATATTAATTCAATAATTATAATATTTTTATTTCATCACATTTTTTTGAAAAATAATAAATGATAAATTTAGTTTTTTAAATCCTTATATTTTAAGGAAAAATGTCTCGTAGCTCAAATTTTGTGGCTCAAAAGTGGCTCAAATGGTCAAAACGACGTCGTTTTGGCCATTTTTATGTTGTTCTGTACTCAAAACGACGTCGTTTTGACTATTTTTATGTTGTTCTGTACTCAAAACGACATCGTTTTGACCATTTAAACTACTTTTGAGTCACAAAATTTAAGTTAAGTAGCATTGCCGTATTTTAAGCATTGCTCCAATATCGCCCCATGATCTTTCTTTCGTTTGAGGCGTGCCGACAAGTGATTACTTTGATTTGACATTAAACTATCCTCTGGGCTCTACTAATGAGTACTTTACTGAGGCCTGGCCCACTTTTGGGCCTAATTCCATTTGATGGAGTGCTTGGGCCCATAAATTGTGTTACAATTGCTACAATACCACTTGCCCTGATGCTATTTAAGTTAAAAAATTAAACTCACATTTTAAATTTAATAATGTGATAGTTTATTAAAATATTTAAGATTTTTTTTTTTTTATATTTTTTTTTAATTATTAATCAATCATCTTATTTCATTAATCTAAAATATAAGTTTAGAAAATGAGTTTGTATATCATTTTTCAATGACCACTATTTTTTTATTATTTATTGTAATCAAAATACTGAGTGGCTTAAAAAAATAAAAATACTATATTTATTTTCATACCACATTTAATTTATCATTTTACATGACGCATCTATAATCATTGATGTAATGAATTTCATGAGAGCTCCAGTAATATTTAACAGTTATAAATGTGTCACACGAGACGAAATATTAAGGATTTGTTTTGGTAATGTTGATATTTAGAAAAAATTTGAAAAGTATAAACAAATACTCATTTTTATTTTCAAAAATTTATAAACAATTTAAATTTTTTTTACTAAATTATTGCGAAGTTGGTTTCACTAAATATAAAATAAAATAAAGGCTAATGAAACTAAATTCATTTTTGTGTAGATAAAAAAATTAAAAAAAAATGCTTGGGACCCCCAAAGTTGGGGATTTCCATGATCTCCAAAATGCTATGGACCAATCATGTGTTTTTTATTTTTTTATTTTTTCTTTTCTTTTCTTTCTGGACCAATCACGGGTGAGTAGAGATTGTGAAAGTCGTGTTTTTTTGGAAATTTGTAACATTGTTGAAAAAAAGTAATTTGTTTATGACCTTCTAGAATATCAACGCCATAAAATTTGTCATAATTTATATATAATACACAATTTTTGGGAAGAGTATATTGTAGAATGACTCATCAATTTGAACAAAGTAATTGATTGCAAAGTCAACAAGATGAAAAGCAAAGCAAAGCAACATAAAACTAACAAACTGTCTCCATCCATATTGGTTGTGTGATAATCAATTTTAAGCAAAGCAAAGCAAAGCAAACATTCAAATGTGCTTCTACTACTTCCAATATATTTAAAAATTAATTACTTGACCACACAACCCTAGATTTTTACCATCCATCCAATGATATAATGTGTTCATTGTGAATCATTTTTTAGTGAACTAGACATAAAAACAACCACCACCAAATCATTTTTTAGCGAACTAAATATAAAAATAACCACCACCACAAAACACCTTAGGTCACCACCTCAACGCTGACTATAATCTTTGATAGTTGAAAACGAACTCTTTTTACAACTAACAACCACCTTCAGCCGTTGCCAAACACCTCCCACTGGTGACAATCACATCTTGCAACGGCAACCACCTCTGATCATCAACGGCAACCATCCCACCCACTAGTTTATCAAATACACATGTACCAGCATACTTTTTATTTTTCATTTTTCACTAAAAAAAAAAGATAAATATATTTAATATTTTATGTAACGGAAAACAGTAAATTTCATCAAACAACTCTTGGATGTTTTTATCATTTTCCCAATTTTTTTTCCCTTCTACAAATCCAATAACTATGATTACGAAACACCAAAAGAAAACTACAGAACAACACATACAGAGTTGCTCTACGAATTGCACATAGAATGGGAAAGAATAAAAACTGCAACTGTTGACAAAATCTTGTTAATGTTTGGTTTTTCTATCATTTCTGCCCCTCTTTCTGAACTCTCGCTTTTCCACAGAATATTGCTTTTTAATCAACAAATTATGCATTGCCGTCTTCACAGTCTCCGCTGCTGCTAAAAATACCTCCTCCGCGATTGAGCCACTTCCCTGCAACTTTTCAAGCAGTTGAATTCCCCCCGGTATATCTCTATCTTCCAACACAATTGAATCAAGCTCACCAGAATCAGGATTTGTTTTGCTAAAACCAGATATAGCCCTCACACGGGCCAAAGACGTGGAATCAAAACCTTGTAAGTTGGATACACCTGTCACCATCCACAATAGCTCTGCAGAGGAGCTAGTTCCTAAGCTTGTCGGCATGAAGGCCTCTCCCTTGATGGAAATCACCTGTAAGGAACAATATTCAGAGAAAACAAAAATGGAATAGACGCTCTGAAGGTGCTTCTTTTCACTGGAAATGCAAGCTGCTTAAAATAGGTTATGAAACTAGAAATATTTGGTTATAATCCATAGTGTTGTTTGATTATGACACAATGGTTGTTTTTCGTTATTAACCTACTGGTGTTTGGTTATAGCATATAATGGTGTTAGTTTCAAACTAAATGAATGGCTCTTTTTATTTATTTATTTATTGTTAAATCTAATGGCTAGAAGTGAAGAGATGTCTATGGTATGTACCTTTTTTTTATGGGTGCATTATGCTAGTCGTTTCCTAGACTTTTATAACTTTAAGCCCTAACCAACATTATACTTCGTACAATATGGAAAAAAAATGTCAATATAATTCTATTTTCTTGGTTTTTGCTTTGGTCATGTCTATCTTAATAATGTCTGAAATTTTATTCACGGATTTAATAATATTTTTTTAATTTTTATGCTTATATAAGTGTTATCTTTTAGTATAACTTACAAACAATATTTCCAATTTCAAATATATACAGTTGGCCCTCTCTTCCTAAAATTCCAATTCCTGTGTCTGGCACTGCTTTGTCCAAAAAATATTTTCAGAATATGCACAGAAGCAATCTAGCCATTTGTGTTATGATTCAAGTTAAATTCTCTGTGAATTGTACACTGTGGTTCAAAGGTGAAGCTGTGCTTTGTCCAAAAGATTATTTTATAGAATAGACCTGTCCTCATGCAAGCTGCTTTGTCCAAAAATTATTTTCAGAATATCCAAAAATAACTAATACCTATGCATAATTTGTTGTTATTTTGATGATTGGGAGTTTTTAAACAATAATAGTATTTACCTTGGAAACAGAAAGAGCTTTGTCAGCAAGGTTGCAGCTCAAAAGCACCACTCCTGAGAGGCTGCAATGGCATAGAATGAACACCCATGTCAGAAGTTTTAAAACAACAAATCAACAAGAGGTTCTTCAAAGTGGCAAAGAAGGTTGATTAAGGAATTTCCAGAGACTTACCCTTGAATGGCCACTGCAACCAATGAACTGATAGGAATGGTACATAGATCAGTAATAGCAGGACCGTACTCATCAGCTTTTCCGTTAGACTCTAGAAATCCTGCCTTCAGGACGCAAGAGTAAGTAAAACAGAAGTAACACACAACAAAACAAGCACGCCATCGACAAAAGCCTACTAGTGCGAAAATACTAATCTGGGAAGCTAGGTAGTTTTTGGTTCACTAGAATGAAAGTAGATTGGAATGGAATTGTCATTCTTTAGTCTCCTTATGGAATGACCATTCCCTTGCAATAATGAAAGATAATTCCATTTGAAATGAATTTTTCATAATTTTTTAGTGAACCCAACATGAGAATGAACATTCTAATGGAATGATCATTCCATTCCAGCTTATTCCAATGAACCAAACATAACATAAAAGCAATTCAAACAGGTTTGTTGGAGGGGGGATATTCATCCCTTGAAATTTATGGTAATAGTACTGACCACTTTGATTATGAAGTAATCACCACTTCACTAGGGGAAAAAAATGGCACATTCATAACACAAAAAAGACCATTCTACAACAGGTCTGAATTATGCTTATAATTTTAAAGTGACGGAATGACAGTTTGGTAATTAGTCTGAAAAAGAAAACCCTGATGAGGAAGTGAGTGATACATCAGAAACAAAGGAGAGGCCAGGAGATAATCAAGAACCTCAAGAGTCAGAGCAACAGAGTTACCTCTGCTCCAACGTCACAGGTATCAAGAAGAGATCCAGAAGTTATATCCCACAGCCGAACCTGAAAAGACATTGCAGTCAGATTTGTGTCATACTTGGGACCTCAAAAAAAAATAAATAAATAAATTAAAGGCAATATGCAAATCATGCCACCAATTTTACAATTACTCACTGTTGAATCACCACTTCCAGAAACAAGAAAAGCCTCAGGATAATCTGAAGCACAAACAAAGGCAAGGCAGGACACATACCTGCCAAGAGAGACATGAAAGCAGAAATCAATCACCATCTATGATTATTCAATGCTTGTTTGGTGCTTCTCAAATATACAAAACCTCTATTACCCAATGGTGACTTCAAAAGTGCCACTTAAAAGATGGCTTATCAAAAACAGATCACGTTTAGGGTCATATGTTTTTAGGGAAACATATATGCTATCTAATTTGATTTTTCTTATGGACAAGTTTACAACAATATAACTTTTGTTTGGACACACAATATATCTATCTTCTATCTATCTATCTACACTATTATAAAGAGAAGCCTTCCCATGGTGTTTATGTCTCATATTTTAGGTTTTCCCCAAATACCCCTTACATTAGTTATATGGACAGTTAAGCCCTAAATTCAATTTTTTTTTAAAAAAAATTCCAAATTCATTTCAATTTTCAGATTTTGAATTCAATCAAACAATTTACAATCATACTGCTTCTAGAATATATATACACACACACACAGAGAGAGACAGAGAGAGCTTCAATCACATTTGAAAAAAGTATATGAATAGTTGAATACTCTCCCAGAGCTTAACTGGTTATGATTAAAAAAAATCTTTGGGGATGCTAAACCAAAATGTGCTGAATAAATAAATATCATCCAGTGTCAAATATTAGCTTGGCTCATTATTGCCGAGATAACGGCCTACTTCACATACATCGTGCAATGCATGCAGTTATTGATATGCACTTTTGTGTACTAGCTAAAGTGGAGACCATATTCACTGTGGTACTGTATTAGGTAAAGTTGAAGGGGAAAAGAGAAATCACTTTGGGCTTTGTTGATTTACTACGTGAAGATTATGTTGAAAAAGTGCTTGATTTTCCTGATCCAAATCAAGCAGGTTTCAGTGACTGCTAAATATTTTTGTCCATTTCTAGCTTAAACAACAATATTGTCAATATCAAAGATTTAACCAAAATCCCAATTCCCGTCTACTGTTAACTTCTTTATTCTTGCCACGGATACAAGCAAAACGTGGGATCATAAAAATAAAAATTAAAACTCACTCACTCAGAATGACCAAGGCAAAAACTCTGTATCTCATGAGCCCCATCTAAAGGCTTCTTTGGAAACAGGGTAACCTGTCACAAAATAACATTGTTGAAAACAAATTGAAATGGAATTTAATATTTAATAATTTATTTGTTTCAATGGGTGAGAATCGTCAATTACACGAATTTTAAAATCCCGATCAGCGCTAATAATGAATCGTTCATCCGGCGAGAATTCCTGCAAGAACATAAAATTGTTTAGAAAAAGCCCAGCTTACAAGTAAAGGTCATTCATGCATCCACACAAATGTAGCCCTAATTTCAAAGACTTATGTAATAACTCATAAGAATTTAACAATGTGTATAGGAGAAGAGAAAGAATACACACACACATACATATATATATATATATAAACCTCAAAAACATGAGCAGGAAAAATTGTAGAAAAAAGATAATGATGAAATCTATTATGTCCAATTTGTTTCTGTTATTCATGGAAAAATGGAGGGAATAACCAATGATTCACCAAACATAAAAAATAAAAATAAAACTTAGCAGAAATGTCTAGGACAAATCCACAACTCTTGAGGACAAATCTACATAACCAAGTCTTGCACGTATAATGAGAAACTAATTAAGTTTTGTTTTTGCCAATCAAAAAAAAAAAAAGTTTTGTTTTTTAAGCATAATAATTATGATATGGTTTTAGCATTATAACTGACATGGAAAAAGGTGAGTTGTTATACTAGAGGTCATCACAAAAGGCCATAAATACAATAGAGCAAGGACAAAGAGAAAAGATATCAAAGATAACAAATGACATACCAGGCTAGTAATGATGCTACAGTAGTGAGCAAGAATTGGTGCTGCCTTCTTACTGGCTAAAGCTTGATTTTCATGAAATCCATCCAAATCCACAACCCAAACAACTCCAAATTTGTCAGCAAAACAAACAAATAGACCATCATTGCTTATGGCAACTGCACTCACTCTCTTCTCTGATGACCTGTTACACTCGATTTGAACAAGAAGAATATTAATAAATGTCCAGCACAAATGAGGGAACTTAATGCTGAAACTTATACAATGCAGCAGGTAGGTAACAAATGCAGGCAGGTGGGTTCTAGCATGTAACAATATCACTTAGATACATTCAATCCCACCGGTAAAGATAGTTTCCCCCCCTCCCCTTTCTCTCTCTCTCTCTCTCTCTCTTAAGAGAAGAGGGACTTCTCTCTCTTTCTGTCTCTCGGCTTCTTCAACTACTCTTTCCGCAAGCCCTATGTTGTAAGGGATGGAAAGTGCAATCACATAGTAAGCGTGGTAGAGGCCATCTAGTCAAACAAACAATCAAAAAAGTTGGGACATATTATTGATACTTATGGTCATCAGAAGACAGAACACTTCAATCTAGAATTTCTGAACTTAATGCTATTAAAAAATTCTTGGTCCTACAAATTGAAAGAAATGCTAGAAGCAACTTCACAACAATAGAAGGCCAACTTTGCTACTTCAACAACTAATAAAACCTTCTGGACTTTAAAATGACTTACACAGTAGATATACAGCGCCAGGCATCTGTGTTCCAAATCTTAACTAGTTTGTCATCACCAGCAGTTACTAAAAGCTTTCCCATTGCACCATAACGGATTGCTCGAATAGAATCCCTATGAAGAGGCTCGCTAGAATCATCCAGCAAAGAAATTGGATTGCCAGTCCTGTAAAGAAACAATGCAGTAATTGACAAGGTCTTTAGACTTCAAGTTACATTCCAAGACATGTAAATGATGGCAAAATTCCAATTTAAAAATCAACATTTTGGCATGTAAAGAAAACACTCCCTTGTTCCCATTCTCTCCATTTCTCTCCCTTTTACTAATCCAAAGAGGTGATACAAATTTATTTTCTTTTCTTCTCAAATCACTCAGCCCAAACTAGCTGTTAGTGTGATAAACTGTCGAAATTCTACCAATCAGTTTGTTTCCCGGGAAAATATAGGACAATGAAAGAAACTAAAATTATAATCTTGTGCCTTTTTATTTTTTTTTAAATAAACTATATACATTTAGCTATTTAAGACCCAGAAAATATGAAACCCTCACTCAAAGCAAGTTAAGTAAAAATTTCAGTTCCAACTCTTAAACCAAAGCAAGTTAAAACATTAAAAAAAACAAAAAAACAAACAAACAAAACAAAACAAAATTATCAAGTCTTCCACTTTCTTTTCGTCGCTTTTCTCAGCAACCAAATGGAATAAGATCAGAGCTTACTGGAGGTCGAAGACGCGGAGGTCGGAGCCGACGGCGACTGCGACGGAATGATGGGTGGGGTGGACAGCAATGAGGGCCGGAGCAACCTCCATTTCTCTGTTGTGGTCACCTCCCCCTTCCATTGTAGTCTCCTCCATTTCTTTTCTTCCACCTAGATGAATTCCAAACCTTTCTTTGTTTCTAGGGTTTTTGAGGGTTTCTAGGTTTTTCAGGGGTTTCCCTTATTTGGTGTTAATATTATAGGGTAAACTATACTTTCACCCCTTAAAGAATGAATTATTTCTCACTTTGATTTTTATAGAAAAAAATCCTTTCACTTTAGTCCCTAAACTGTTGTTTCCAATTTTGTGCTAATTACCAACTCCTGTTGTGGTTACATGGCACTTTAGTTCTTAAATTTTTTTAAAAAAAATTTCCACTTTAGTCTCTAACTCTAAATGCAAAATAATCTTAAAAAACCATTCTCTCACCCCAAAACTCATTGCCAAACCCATCAAATTTCAAAAACCAACTTCCTATCAGACAAAAATAAAATAAAATAAAATAAAAATTATTGTGGGTATATGTCGATGAAGGAGCAGAAAAGACTGTCAATTAAAATTTGAGAGCTACTAGAGGATATCAAATATGAATTTGATTCATTAACATGGCAAAGGCATTGAAAGAAAAAAAGACCCATTTTTAAAATAAAAAAATTTGTGGAGAGACGAATTTGTCCTAGTGTTAAAACCTTATGGAGTGTTTGGGAAGAAATTTTTTTGGTTTTTTTAGTTAAAATAGTACTAAAAGATAAAATTGGTTAAAATAATCAATAAGATAAAATGTCACATTAAACTCATAATCATTTTACTTTTTCTCTCACAAATATCACATCTAACTACAAAAAAATCCAACTATCTTCCCAAATAAAAAAATTTTATCCTCCTAAAATAGTCAAAAACTAAAATAACTAACTAAATTAATAACTTCCCAAACACTCACTAGAGTGGAATATTGTATTTTCATAAAATAAAATTTATGATTGCGTTTGGTAGAGTTTTATAAATATAATTTGAGAGTATGAGTTGTATTTTGAGTTTGTGAGCTGTGAAGTTATGATCTGAATGTAGAAAATTTGTTTGGTTATAGTTTTTGAATAGAGTGTTAAATTGAGTTTTGAATTGAGTGTAAAATTGAGTTTTAAAAGTTTGATTTGACATGTGAAGTAAGAAAATTTGTTTGGTTATGAGTTTTGGAAAGTATTTTCAAAACTTAATTCAAATTGTTATAACTCATAACAAAATACACTACTTTCACACTATTGAAATTTCTGATCAACACTCATAACTAAACTTTTTTTAAAATTCAATTAAAAAAATTTATTATTAACAGAAAATAAGATTAATCAATTTTTTAATTGAAAACACTATAAAGGAAATAAATTTTTTTCAAAATAAATACTCAAAAAATTAAAATCATAAATATTTAAATAATTTAAATAACCTAAAAAAATTAATAAGTAAAAAATTAAAATAAATATTCAAAAAAATTAAATCATTTAAAATGTTAAATATTTTTAAATTTAAAAACAACTCTATACTCAAATCATAACCAATACATAAAACAAAACTCAATTAAGAATTATTTTTAAAACTCATAACCAAACACATAACTCAAAACTCTAAACTACTTTCATAACTTTACACTCAAATCGTAACCAAATACATAACAACAAAATTAAAATATTTAAAAATATTTTTATAAATAGAGTTTGAATTTATTTTTATAAATATTTTAAATTTTAAAAATTAAAATCGTAATATTTTGAAATTAAAAATAATTTAAAAAATTAAAATCTAACAAATTAAAATATTTAAAAAATTAAAAAAATCGTAACATATTTAAATATTAAAATATTTAAAATCTTAACAAAATTAAAATATTTTTAAAATATTTAAATATTTAAAATATTTAAAAAAATTAAAATATTGATTTGAATTAAGTTTTGAAAAGAGTTTTGGATTATGTGTTTTGGTTATGAGTTTTGAAAAGTAATGATTATGTTTTGAATTGAGTTTTGAAAAATAGATGTAGAATTATGATTTGAAAACTCCAAACAAATAACATACTCAAATCAATGGATGAAACTATAATTCGAAACTCTTACCAAACGGAGCCTATGTTTTTAAAATATACACATTAAAATCTGTTGGACAAGATGAAACTATGTAGATAATTTTTTAATTGACAACTGTGAAATTTTCTCAATTTTCTGCAGCAAAATTTGTCAAATTTTTATATTAAAATATAGATCTTCTTGAATATGTTCCAAAACCAAAAAATTTAATAAAAAATGGATCTATAGAATGAAAATTATGAAATTTTGATTAAAAAAATATATAACTTCAAATTGTTATTGTGGTTTACCCATCAAATAAATGGACGTTAATGGCAACAAAACAGATCGTTAGGCTATCTCTAACTCAAAGATTTGAAAAAAAAAAATTATGGAGGAAAAAAAAACTTATATTTCATTCACTTTCTTTTTTCTTCCCAAATTTATGATCTAAACCTAACTTCAATACATTTGAGCACATAAATGTATTAAATTAAATATGAGTAAAAGTGAAAGGAGAGAAATAGATCGTTAATTGTTCCATTACCATGAAAATAAATAAATAAATAAAAGAAATGAAGGAAATATTGAATTCTTTGTATGCTAATACTTCCAACTTCCATATTTGTTGCCTGTTACACAAAGCCCAACAAACAAGCCTGCCTTGCATCTCTATAAAGAAAGAGTTCCCTAAAAACTCCACCAAACAGATCACAAGGCCAAAGGCTACAAACAAAACACCTTTTTCCAATAGGAGCTAACCAAACTTACAAGAAGAGAACAAATTCTCACAACAGAGCAACAAAATCCACCACCATCCCAAAACAATAAAAAAGAAAAAAGAAAAAAAAGAGGAAACAGACCTAAATTCTCAGCTGTGCACAACCCAGAATAGGTCCATAGCACCTAGTCATAGGTGCCACCCGGCGCCAAATCGGTCTCTCGCTCCCAATCGTCAAAACATTGACAACAGACAGCTTCTTGATATCCGAATTCCATCGTTCGGGCCCTATCACCACCCCTCCAATCACATATATATCATCTCCCAACCCAATCATTGCAAACCCAATTCTCCTCCGGAACTCCGATGCTGAAACCACTACCTTGCTTGCTTCTATCTCCTGCTTGAAAATAATGCCATGACTCATCACATAGAGAGCTCCGCGGATGACAGCCATTGGACCCTGGAGCCAACCGTAATCCCAGACGGTCCAACCAAGCTTGACGCCGTCCAAAACTTGCACGGTTGATAAACCCTTGTGAAGGACGTGGACCTTACCGTCGATAACTACCCCTGAGCAAGCTGTATTGTGAGTGTGGTGGAGATCAGGTATTGATACCCAGACATCTTTCTCGGGATCATAAATTTCTGCTTTGGAAATTGATTTCTGGCAACTAGTGAAACCGCCAGCAACAACAATCTTACTGTCCAAAACACAACACGCAAACATGGCACGGGGCACGAGCATGGATGCTTGTGGGGCCCAGTGCCGGGAAACTGGGTCGTATGACCAGACCTCGTTGGTAGCAAAGCTCCCATCTTGGTCGCCGGTCAATGGGTCAACAGCATCACTGCCACCACCAAGCACAAACAGCTTTCCAGCAGTGGAGACAACACCAAAGTTGGCAAGGTGCCTGATTTTTGAAGGGAGAACGGGGAGAGTAATCCAAAGGTCTCGGAGAGGATCATAGAGCTGCCACAGATTTTCGGGGTCAAATGCGCACACACATAGAAAGTCCTCGGATGAATTGACCTCTTTTCGGGCTTTGAATAGCTCAAGGCTACGAATGGCAGATTGCCAGGATCGGGATACAAGCTCCAACTTGGAATGCAGGTACAGGGGCACGCGTGCAAGGCATCTGAGGGCAACTGCATCAGGGAGACCTTCAATCAGCCCAGACATTATGGTTACTGATGGATCTGTTTACATTGCTTCTCCATTGAGTAGTGATAGCGATATCTGAAATATCAAAACGGAGAAAAAAAAAAATCAGTGTTTGAAGTAAAACTAATGTATCTGATCACATTACTAACTGTTGAATTTCAAATCCAGAGGATATGGCTACATTGCGAAATCCATGAAAAGAAAATCATCCCATATGTATGTCAATTATTCAGACCTTAGGAAACGAACTCTCATCCAGGCTTGACCAATATTTCAAGATACTTTCAGGGAAGAATTTTTTGTAAGGCTTCATGCTAAAGGATTGATGGGAAGTCCTAGAAATGTTAACGAATAAAAAGACGAAGAAAAAAACATTGGCAAGAGGATCAAGGACATGAGATGAAGGGAATCTAAAACAATGATCAGGGCTGCATAACAGAGATGTGCCATTACCATGATAATTTGTCCATCATACAGGCTGTAGGATTACCATGGTTTCTGTCATTGTTGTGTGATAAACCAATCAGTGATTAATTAAGTAATTAGGCCAACTGATTGGCAAATGACATTTCCCATGGGACCTACTAAAGATTATGTAGGTTTTCAGGTTGATCAGAACCGCAGATAATGTTCATTTTGAGCTTGGTATGGAATGGAATGCCAAAAAGCCCATCCAAAATAATAAGATTCAGTGTTTACAAAGCATGTCAATGACAAACTTCAGACCAAAAAGTCAATGACATAGATCAAGTATCAATTACTTGATAAAAAAATTATATCTTTACGGACATTATTACAATATAAAAAGAAGAATCATTTTAATGTGACGTCAAAACTACCCTAAGAAATAACAATGTGAAGACAAACTCCTAAACATCATTAACCACCAGGATCCAAAAAAATAAAAAATTAAATATTAAAAGAGTATATACACGGCATTTACTCAACTCACAATCCCTAACTGTGAATTCACTTTAACCAACTTTCCCAGATAATACCAACATGCCAGCGAGCAACCAACAGTTGCATGCAAGATATCTCAAGAAATGCAGCATTAAATGCTTATTATCACCTCGTACAATGACAAATTCGCAATTACTGAGCCAGAGATCTTTTGTGCAGGATGGAAGGGAAATTAAACACATATCCTTGTGTATCTGAAACCTCAATTTTCTGGTATACTAAATTGATGCTTCAAGTTTGTGCAAGTAACATATATTTTCTTATTGGAAGTATAACAGAAACAATCTTGGAAGTATAACAGAAACAAACTTTATGTCTACCATCTGATACGACTTCATATTAAATAAGATATCTCCATGCGACTTGAAATTTTATGATATTATTGATGGCGAAACAGATGAATATTGGTTGAGGATGAAACTGAAAGAGAGTTAAAGAATTGTGTTTGGTATGGTTGTTAGAATTGTATGACTCACGATTCCATTCATACGATTCGATACGAGTTTCAACAAAAACAATTCGCATCGCTCTGTTAAATCGGAATTTGAGTAAATCGTACAATTCATTGCAATTCACTAAGATTCATTATGATTCACACGATTCACTGCGATTCAGATCTATTTCTATTTTTGTTTACATAATGCATGAAACAACATCGTTTTTGCCAAACTACAAAGATATATATATATATAATTAGTTATATTGATACACATGATTTTATATGTATATACACATATATAATTTAGTCATATTAATAATTTACTTTATTTTAAACATTGTATGTATTTTTTATGTATATAATATATAGAATTACATATTATATCAAAATAAAATGAATCTTACGATTTATGATTCGATACGATTCACCATTTTAATAAAACGATTCACGATTTGACAAATTGGTAATTTCATGATATAAAGAATTTATTTGTAAAAAATACCAATGAATGCACATAACTAAACCATAACTTCAATGATATTTGATGTAGGATAAGATTTTAAGAATTTTTATATTTTTAGTTTTAATATTTTTGATATATTATTTTATTAGGATTCTTGTAATTTAGTATAAATATTTTAGAATTATTAGGTTTCTTAATTTGTTTTGATTTTGTTTTTCTAATTTCTTAGGTTTCTTATTTCCCCAGAATTAGATTAGTTTATTGTTTCCTAATTTGAGTTTTCTTGGTGTTCAATAATACTATTATTATAAATAGCTATGTAAGCCTCATGGCAAAGAGAACTTTTATTTAACAATATTAAGATATTTTCTCTTCCTTGTGAATTCAAGATCCCCTTTCATGTACTAAAACGATATCTTGCTCCCATGTATTCCGCTGCTTCAAGTGATACCAGAGCATGGATTCGCCTAGCTCAATGACACAAGACAATAGAGAACACACAATCGAGAACACACAATCCCTATTGACAGTGATCGTAGGGTGGAAGCCATATGGAATGCGATTGAGGAACATCGGCTAGAGGTGCACGAACTTCGGAATGAGATTTGTAATTTACTTGTCGATTTGGGACTAATCATCAACCAGAGGCAACCAATAGTTGACAGCAATTACACCCAGTGTTGTTGGAGGTGCACCTAAGCGCTCGCCTAAGCGAGAAGCAAGGCGAGGCTATTGCGCTTCATAGGGTTTGAAGCAAGGCGATATGGAGAGGCGAGGTTGAGATGAGTGAAGCCAGGCTTAGGCGATGAAGCGCAAGGCGAAACAAAGCGTTGCTTTTTGCTTCTAAGATCTGGGCCCTTTATTTTTCCTGATTTTGTGTTATTGGTGGACATGCATTGCACCTTAGAATTGCTTTCTACTATTACTGAGTGTAAAACCCTAGTTTCTGGGGGTATCGAAAAGAGAGAGAGACGAAAAGCAAAGACGAAAAGCAGAGAAAGAGGAGAGGAGAGAAACGAACCTGGTCCTGCTTCGTCTTCTTCTTTGACATCGTTTCTAAGGTAAGTCTTCTTCTTCTACTTCTTTTTTCTCTTTTCCTGCTTCGTCTTCTCCCGCTTCGTCTTTTTTTCGTCTTTCCCGCTTCGTCTTTTTTTTTCTTTTTTTTTTTCCTTCTCTTGTTCTCTCTTCTTCTTCTTTCCTTTATTTCATCTCACAGCAAAAAAAAAAAATTCTCTTTTGTTTGTTTGTTTTTTTTTTTTTTTTTTTTCAGTTATGGTTCTGGTTTTTTTTTTTTTCCCCTTCCTTCCCTGGTTCTTGTTTTGTTTCTCTTCTATTTATTTTGTTGAAAATTTTTTCAATTAATTTTACCAAATTGATTTTACAATTGTATAATTATTTTGCTGAAAAATATTATACAGGCTAATAAATTTTATAACATTGTCTTACTAATTAATATGTCATGTACTAATAAAAATTTAAAATTTAAAATATAATTCACTTTAATAATAAGATAAGTGTCACATTATTGAATGAAAAGAATAATAAAAATTATTAAAGCATTGCATTGATTTTTGATTAAAGAAGGGAAAGAATTAGTTGAGATGGTCGATTGGTTTGATGTTTGATGTTTTTGATGAATATTTAGTATTTAGAATGTTAGATTCGTGGGACATTTTGTGTTGTTTAAGGATATTTAGTATTTAGAATGATAAATGCATGATAGTTCTTAAAAATATCCTTTGTATTGGCCTTGATTCAATGAAGCCCTCGCCTCGCCTCGCCTTGCCTCGTCTCCTCGCGCTTAGGCGTTAAGAGACCTTGTCGAACATGTTCGCTTTTCGCCTTAAAAAACACTGATTGTGCCCAACAATTCACCCAAGGCCAACCTGTTAGCCTACGTTATTTTGCATAAATTTCATATTTTAAAGGTTCAAGTAAGTTTCAAAAAGAAGATTTTCTTGATTGGTTGGTTGATCTTAAATTTCTTTGAATTCATGAAGATTCCTCATGAAAAGAAGGCTATATTTGCATCCTACAAACTTGATAAAATTGCATTGAAGTAGTGGAATGGATTACAAGATTATCGAGTTTGCAAAGGTAAAAACAAAATTTATTCATGGTTAATAATGAAAAAGTTTTTAGCAAGAAAATTTTACTTTCATGATCATGAAGATATATTGTCATATACAAATCAAGATACTTCCATGGAATTGGTAAAAATTTGAAATGAAATTGTAGTTGTAAAAGAAAAGACTTCGCATCCAAATATTATTTGTGGTGAGATTTGTTTGTAAAATTAATGAAGAAGATACAAAATCTTGTTCGAGTGTTGATAATGCATGAACACTGAGTAATTTGAATATTGGGGAGAAAGTTTTACAAACAAACAGATCATAAAAATATTGAAGAAGAAGGAGATCTAATTGAGCCCAGTAACAAAGAGAAAATAGAATAAGAGATAATACAACCGCCGTGTACAACAAATAAATTGGTCGATGCTACACTTGATATTCCAAGGTTGATAATTGAAGGATCAATTGAATCTGGGATGGTACAAAATTAAGAGAGCATGCAAGTTCTACATAAAGTAAATTTGGTTGATTTTCTTGGTATGGAGCAATTTAATTTGATTTTCAATGCTTGTCTAATTGATTTTGTCAACCAGTTGAAACATACAAAGAACAACTTTCAGAAAGTAGACTTTTCTGCATATAATTTTTGGAAGAAGGACAAACAACTGAAGTATTCCAAGAATCTTTTTATTTGGCATAGACGATGGCAAATCTTTAATATGAACTCGAGGACGAGTTCTTTCAAAGAAGAGGAGTCTGATGTAGAACAAGATTTTAACAATTTTTATATTTTTAGTTTTAATATTTTTGAAATATTATTTTATTAGGATTCTTATAATTAGTATAAATATTTTAGAATTATTAGGTTTCTTAATTTTTTTTGATTTTGTTTTTTCAATTTCTTAGGTTTCTTGTTTTCCAAGAATTAAATTAGTTTATTGTTTCCTGATTTGAGTTTTCTTGGTGTCCAAGAATATTTGGTCTCCAAGATTTACATTATTATAAATAACTATGTAAGCCTCATGGCAAATACAACTTTTATTCAACTTTTATGTAATAATATTCAGATATTCTCTTCCTTGTGGATTCAAGGTTCTATTTTTCTCGTGGGTTCGAAAATCCCTTTCATCTACTAGAACAATATCTAATCCCCATGTATTCCGCTGCATCAATATTTCAGAAAGCTAGAACCATTGCTATATATCTACCTAATCTGTTTCCTTGTTACAGCTCAATTGAATTACTTACATGACAAAGTATATTCAGCGGAGTGTAAGAAACATGAATATGTCAATCAATCATTGGTCTCCGCAAACTTTAAGAGAACCAGAAGCATACAAATGTTTAAGGCAATAAAAATCCAAGTTTATGAGAAACAATCATAGAATTGCAGTCCTAGAAGTTATGAAGAACAATACCACAAATTCCAACCAAAAGAAAATAGTTAATTATACAGTTATAAATAAGTTAGAAGTGAACAAACCGACAAAAATACAATCATTCAGGACTAAAATGGCAGTTCATCTATTATTCTAATCTACTCCAACAGTAAGTGGCATAGAAAACACGTATTGGTGACGATTCTACAATTGGTGATTTAACAAGCTATTAGAGCTCTGGTTCCAAGAGATTCTGACAATTGTACAATTGGTGATCCAATCTCTTTCCAACAGATTGGATCACCAAAAAAAGAATGATGAAAGATTTGGGTCTGCAGTAATTAATAATAAAACCCTTAGAAGACCAATCCGACATGTTCTTAAAAACCAAAGAGGCTGATGAATTGTGCCAGACAATAGCACACCCGTAAACAAAGAAACAATAAAAACAAAGCACAATATAGCAACCTGATTATGATACCAGTGTCCACCCTAACCTAATTGATCAAATAGAATGTAAAATCTACAACAATGACCAACTTCAACGCACCTAACAAAGGTGAAATTAAACATGGGAATCATTATTGTTACTAGTCAATGAGTTGTAACGAGTATATATTTCCTGAACAATTTCTACCATTTTTATTCTTAAATTGGAAAACTAAATTATTGAAAAAAAGGGATCAGCCACCTTCACAACTCAAGAGAACTGAAAGTCCAAGTCTCCCTAACCTCCAATATAAGAACTAGAACATTAAGGTAGTGTTTCGTTTATTGGAATGAAGATACAATGAAATGATCATTCCATTAGAATGTCTATTCTCGCATTTGGTTCACTAAAAAAATGATACAAAATATATTTCAATTGAAATCATTATTCACCATTGTAAATGAATAGTCATTTCGTAGAGAGCCTAAGGATGAGGATTCCATTCCATTCCAACCAAACATAGTATAAAAAAATAAAATTGCCCTACTATGGATGCTATACATACAATACAAGTGACACGCTAACAGCCTTTTTCCACTAAAAGAAAAGGAAATATCTTTAACATGAAAAAAAGATCACTCAGCACAGCATGATGTGAAATATATGAAACTTAACCATCAAAGCAATCACACTCTCCTATAAAATGAAAAAAGAAAAGAAAAGAAAAGAAAAAGTGAACATGAATGAATGAGCACAACCGGGAAAATAAATAAATAAACACCAGAGTCTATGCACCATCCACGCATGCTTGTATTATGATCACAGCCCAAAACTTCAAATTAAATCAAAATGTATGCCAAATTCAGAAGTTGTCATCAGAGGCCAAAATATTGTATCAAACAAAAAATGTGTGCCAAAATTAAGAAGACAGTAAAATAAAATTGTAGGAACACACAGGCAAAACTTTCTATTGTTGAATCAAACCATTGAAATTTACTTAAGCCAAGCATCCTCACCTCAAAATCAACGATCAATTCGTGCACCATGAAAACAACTGAAAGAAAAACCCAACAAAATTGAAATTCAAACCCTAACATTGATACCCATACACCAGCACTCAGCAATACAAACTGTTAGCTACATCAAAATTTCAACAGTTTTGGCCAAAACCCACAACGAATTCATCACAAATCAAATTGGGCTCGAACTAAATTCGCAATTATTTCATTTTTTTTAAGTCATTACCCTCCAAATAACTGTGAAAAAAAAAACAAAATTGTTGTATGAGGAGAGAAAAAATTACCCTTAAAAGCCGAGTCCGATGAAGGAAACAGGATTTGCGGTGTGTCCTGTAAGATTTCCAGAAAAAGAAGAGAGATAAAAGTTAAGAAGTAGCGTTGGATTGCCTATGAAGATATGCGTTTCAGGGCCTTTTTCACAAACCCAAAAACGATTGGGGTGTTACGGTACGGACAATGTCTCTCTCTGTCTCTCTCTCAATGTTACAAGAAATCATTTTTGATACGTTATACAAATGAGCTTAAGTTTTACCCTATGACTTTGAGCATAGACATTTGGATATTCTTTGATTCAATGGTATTTTTCCCATTTTGTTTTCACATTTTTCTTCAATTGGCTCCCTATGTTTTATTCAATACGATACTATGGCCTCGTTTGGAAAGTGACTATTTTAGTAGGTTATTTGGGTTTTTGGCTATTTTAGTGGCTATTTTAATTTTTGTGTTTGGGAAGATAAGATGATTTTTTAGTTGAGTTATTGTATTGAAAAGTGTGTTGAAATGATGTTTAAATTTAAAATGACAGATTTATCCCTAACTTTTTATTTTTTAAAATTGATATAAAGGGGCAAAATGGTAATTTCGCCCTTGGGCAACACTGTCCGGCTGTGGCCTACACTGTCCGGCAGCAGCCTTTTTTCTTTTTTTTTTTTTTTTTTTTTTTGAAAATCCATGCACAGTGTTGCTTTTGGGCTAAAAAATCAAATGAGGCTATAATAGCCTAATTCTCGGAATCCCAAACAGCGCCTATGATTATGAAATTTGCACATCAAATTCTTAATACTATCTAATGCTTGATCTATTAGTTTAATGATTTTAACCTCTTATTTATTGTATTAATTTGGTGGCATAATATATATTACAACCGTGCTGGGACCCCCAGTGGGGTGACCCCAGCACCCCACTCCACATGGGGCTCTGTGATTGGTAGATAGAAAACAAAAAAATAAAAAATAAAAATTCCAGCTAATAAGAAAACACTGGGGGTCACTGGGGGTTTGAAAAACTGGGGGTGCAAATCATTTTTGTATATATTATTCAAAATTTGAGACTTTAATTTAACAGCCAAACATTACTCTGCTTTCAATAGTTGTTATTCTTAAACACTATCTAAAATATATATATTTATATGTAGTTCTTATTCTTAACAAATTGTGATTAAAATATTTTTATTTTTTTTCCTCCATAGATTTATTACAATCTAAAGGTCTTATTTGATATGTGGATTATATTTTTTGATATGATTGAGATTGGTCATGCCTTGAAATTTGACGTTGAAATTAGTAATATTTTAGATAAAAGTTTGAATTATATAGGGCTAATTAAAAAAAAATTGAAATAAAAAATAATAATTACAACTTATATAGGCTTTGTTTGGGAAAATTAGTTCCGTTTAGAAAAAAAAAAAAAAAAAAAAACTTACGATTTTTTATTTATTTATATTTAGACGTGATGGTTGTTACAGAATAAGTGAAATGATAATAATTTAGATGTGATATTTTATCTTATTGACTTATTTAGCCTATTTTATCTTTGGAAAAATTAGTCTAAGGTCCATCTCTCATTTTTTGTGATGGAAGAGATCCACAATATTATTTTGTGATGTCTAAGGTCTCTTAACCCTACACACATATATCACAGAGAAAATTCACTCCCTTTTCCTGTTCCTCTTTATCTTTTTACCCAACAATTTCTTCTTCCCTCTCTCCGATTTACTAACCTGACCTCCGTTCATCTATATCTCTCTCTCTCTTTGATTTAATCAAAGTGAAAAACCCATTTAATGCCCATTGTTATGTAGGACAGCTCTGCAAGTAGGATTCGAAACCGAATCAGTGTTGAACAACCCTTTGAATCGGTGCTGAACTGGCAAAAGGTCATGGTGAAGGAGATGATGATCACATGCGAAATAAACATGTAAAAGTGGGAAAGAATGTGGCTGGAAAGTCAGTGCTATTGGTTGGAAAGAACTTTTCTGTTTACTCTCACATTGTGGCTCTACCTAGTAGTGTACATCATGAAGATACGAAATTTCAGAATTAGATGAATTCTTCTGTAATTTGTGCTAAAAAGAAATCTGCTGAAACAAAAACTCTATTGAATCCATCTCTTCCTTCAAAAGTTCCAAATGGTGATGCTTCTTTGTCTATACCAAAGGAAAAGGATATTGACAAGCAGAAGACAGGAATGGCCTCATCTAAGTACTAAGGTAACAAATTGAAAGACGGAAGTGAATTCTCCGATCCTTCAGTTTAGAGGTCTCATGGCAAAAGTTCTTATACACAAAGCAAATTTCAACCTGGAAAACTATTGAATAATGTCAATGAGTCAGATCAATCAACTTAGAGGAAAAAAAAAGACGGCATTCGTGAAAGGCCTGACCTCAATGTTTCTGAAGGAAAACATCCTATGCAAACTATGGTGAGTAGTTCTTTGTGAATCCTCTCTTCTCCTCTCTTTTTCCATTGCATCAGTGGATTAACGTGATGTGTACAAATATTGTTTCACATATACATTTCAAGAGGTTTGTGGGAAGTCCAGGAAAGGCCAGAGAATTTTCAAAATTTCTCTAGAGAGGTAATTTTGTGGGAAGTCTAGGGAAGGCTGGAGAAAGACAGAGAAATTTTGAAATTTCTCTAGAGAGTGGGATGTTTAGGGAAGGCCAGAGAAGGGAAATTTCTCTAAAGAAAAGAGAAGGCCAGAGAAATTTTAGAGAAATTTCCAAAATTTCTCCGGAGAGTGGGATGTCTAAGGAAGGCTAGAGAAGGGAAATTTCTTTAGAGAGAATGGAAAGCCAAGAAAGGCAGAGAAATTTGAAATTTCTCTGGAAAGTCTAGAGAAATTCTTTCCAAAATTTATCTGGTGAGATTTTCTCTGTGAAGTCGAATTTTCTCTAGATCAATAATATCATGGGTAATCATTATTATTGTTTTTTTTACTATCTAAGCAAATAAATTGAGAGTGTCTGGTTCTTTTGTTAGGATAGTTTTTTTGTAAACCTGGTCCTTAGCAGGATGCATATGATACTAAAGACTCTCCTCTAAATCTCTGTGAAAAGTGTATGAATTTTTGTTTTTTTCCATCACATGGATATCATAGTATTTATATTCATATTCTCTGTTCAATGATTTCAAGACTTTGATTTCTGTTGTTTTTCCCTCAAAGTGAAAGGTACTCCTTAAGGAGGCTTGTGAATTTATCTGGGTTGGAAAGGAATTTTCTTTGAGTTTTTGTGAATTTCTCTTGGTTGAAATGAATTTCTCTAGACTGGGAGAATTTCTTTGGATTGAAGTGATTCCAAAGAAATTCTGGCAAGATTTTATCTGTAAAGTCGAATTTTCTCTGGATCAATTTAAGGGACCTTAGACATTATTAAACTATTGAATGTCCTTTATACTATAAAGTCTTAATATCAGAGACCCTAAAAAAAAAAAAAATCCCTTTATCTTTTTATACTTATTTAGACAAAAAAAGTTATTGCCAAACGTCAACTATATCTATAATTCTAATAGAGATAGAATCTTTTAAGTTATATTTAAATTATAAATTTGGATGAAAATTTAAAAATAAATATAATCCAAACATAGTCTTAATAAATAAATAAATAAATAATGAAAAAAATTGACCCTTTCTGTAACAACCCTAACTCATGATTAACATTAATCCATGATTAATTATGCCTAACAGTAATTAAGGAGGAATTCTGAATTAAATTGCATGTGTGTTGCATTATCTATGTTTATATTTGTTTTGCATAAGAAGATCTGTTCGTGTCTTAGTTTCGATTTGCGAATTGAAGGCCTTATTGGCATCCGATACGGAAATTGATCTGAATTATGTGTTAATTAGAATTTATAGGATTTTATGGTAGGTTTAATTCAAATTCGTTTCGGAACGATTAAATAAGATTAATTTAATCCCTCTCAGTTGCCTATGACTTAAACTAATTAGGCACCATTTTTTTTATGAACCCACTCATCTCTTTTCATCTATTTTTATTACACCTTTGAGCCTACAATACACACACGTGAGAGAGAGAGAGAGAGGGGAGGGAAGGAGAATTGAAATCAAAAGTAAGAGGAAATGAGGATTGTTAGAATTTTTAGCAAATTAAAGAGAATTTAGGAGCTACAACTTTCATACTTGTAAATTCAAGCCTTTAGGTAAGAATTTTGTCTTATAGCCTTGAAGTCTAGACTCTAATGCATAAAAACAAGAGGGTTAAGTTGATTAATGCAAGAATTGAGCTAAAGATTGGAATTGAGAATAAATTTGTGTTTGCATGTGCATTTTATGAAGTTTTAAATATGTTTTCAAAGAATTCCCTCACGCATGTCTTGTATTCACTTTAATTTTGGGAAAATAATGAGTTTTATGTTGTTTGGTAACACTTGATCATGTTTTGAGAAGCTTTGGTTCAAAGAATTGCATGCATGTCATGTTCTTGAGTTATTCTTGAGTTTCAAGTTGAATTTTGTACAATTGGCATGTCATTGGGCCATGATTTCTTGAAATGATCCTTTAAACATGTTGATTTATGAGCTTCTAAGTGTTTCCTCAAGTTTTGGCCCAGAAAAATGAAGTTTGATGCTTTAATGTTTGAGTTTGAACTTGAAGATCAAATCTGGAAATTCCAGAAATTTGATCCACGCTCGAGCGAGGGAATTCACACTTGAGCGAGCATTCTGAGTATGTGCACTTCCGCTCGAGCGACGTGTGACGTGCTCGAGCATGAAATGCATGTACCCAAAAGTTCATATGTTTTACAGTTCGCTTGAGCAAGGGACTTCATGCTCGAGCGAAGGTTTGAGTCTCACGCTCGAACGGAGGTCGAGCGTCCGTTGAGCATGAAATTCATGCATCCAGTACTTTTGTTAAAATTTACAGTCCACTCGAGCGATGGAATTCACGCTCGAGCGAACCTTCACTTCTTGCATGTCCGCTCGAGCGAGGAAAGCCACGCTCAAGCGTGGACCCTGATTTCAGCCAGTTTTGAAAAATGTTTTCAAGTGCATTTTTGCATCCTTATTCTATCATAGGCATTCTTAGGCCATGATTAAGACTCCATAGTGATGCTAAAGGCTAAAAACACACTAAGAACAAATAAAGTAAGTTATGTATGTTTTGAGCGTGTGTTTCAAGTGTGTGTTTGTTATATGTTCGTGTAGGTCACGTGCCATAAACCGTTGATTAGTCTACTCTGTCTGTCTGCACCTGAAGCCAACTGTGAGTAATAATTTAGT